GCCAAATGCGATCCTTCTGTTACACGTGAGTATGTTACTGGAGAAGTAAAACCGTTTAAGATAATATTTTAAGTATCATATATCCATTGCTGCTACAGGACAGAATCATCTACATACTATTCCTATGACCACGTAGGAATAAGTTTTAATATAAATACAAAGACAAAAAAAAATGTTTCAACCAGTTACGCTAGAAATTAAATAAAACCCAAATTACTCAACATCTTTCATCCTTCCAACTTTATCATATTGTAAAAACTGGAAAATTTAAACAACTTCAACCTAAGTTACTTTCGGAGTGTAAGACCATTTTATTAAATTAATATGAAAATATTTGAGATTCTTAATCATATTTGTTTTCGTTATATGATCATTTCAGCTTGTCCAACCGATCCAAGTACTACTGACCCAACATCAGATCCCTGTGGCTGCAACGGATGCCTAACTCCTCACCCCTTCAACTGTTCAGCTTATTACCGTTGTAAAGATGGACGTCGAGAATTGATCTTCTGTCCCTCTGGTCTTTATTTTAACAAAGATACCAAAGTATGTGATCATCCAAAAAACGTTCGCTGTTGGGACTTTGTTTGTCCAGCGCGAGACGGAATGTTTAAAAATGTATTTGACTGTGGGAGTTTCTGGCATTGTTCTAACGGAATCCCTTACCTTAAGGACTGTCCAGCCAACTTACACTGGAGCGTAGAAAGAAACAGGTGTGAGTGGCCGTGTGTTGCCAAATGCGATCCATCTGTTCCACGTGAGTATCTTAACAGAGAAGTAAAATTGGTCAATATAATATCTCAAAGACCACACATCCATTGCTGTTTTGTGGCAAACATGTTTATATACTGTTAACTTTATTACTTACCTCCATTGCTTACTGGTAAATCTTAATAAAAACGAAAAAAGAAGAACACTAGGAAACAACTACAATATAAACTAGATAAAAACTAAGATACTCAAAATCTTCCATGATTTAACTTTTAGTGTTTTAGAAACTGGAAAATGTAAACG